GTGAAACCCTCCCTCACATTATTCAGTCCTTGGGTCGCACTATACACGTGTCTTTTGGAAAACAAATTATGACAATGCTCCATGGTGTAAAGCAGAAGTGCAGATAGCAAACATGATGTTTATTGGTTTAAACAAACAGCCTGAAGTGCAGTTGACTTTACCGGGGTATATTACTCGCAGTGCAGGCAGCTTTATATGGAATTAATTGCAAACAAGTTGCATACTAATGGCCTGAAAAGGCGTTAATGGAAGTGTTCCATTAAAACAACCAGTGCTGATGCCATCAGACAAATTCCCACTAAGTGTTGCCTCATGAAAATGATAACTTGCTAATCCATTATTAATAAGAATTAATGGTTTTCTCTCTGCCCCGTGTGTATCGATCCCTGATACTCGACACTCACACAGTAGCTCTCTCTGGGCACTGTGGCGGGCTTGGGAATACACTAATTGTAAGCCACACAAGAGCTATTTGTTTGGCTCTCCCTGCTGTCTCTGCATTTATTACGAGCCTCACACACACACACACACACACACACACACACACACACACACACACACGTCAAGTACTCATCTCATTTGCGTGGGTCCTAAAGAATAAAAACAAAGACAGGAGTAGAATAGAAGTAGAGAGGAATAGAAAAAAGGGAAACCACCCGCAAAGCTGTTACTGTGTGTGCTTTTCGTTTGGTCTCTTCACTCCATTCTCGAGTGAATGACGTCAACAGTAGAGGAGCAAGGAGAGGCCTGATTCCTGTGTTTACTGGCCAACAACTGCTAGCTCCTTTAGCTGGTTTGGAACAGTCTTATGTTGCTGTGTGTTTCCGTGCATATAGAAATTTGGTGGACTGAAAACAAAAAGACATTTACACCTTCATTGCACAATGCTGGTTTATTTGCCCTTCACAGTCATTCGCTGTTTATTGTACAGGGACAGCTGGTGTAGTGTCTGTCTGTCTATGGAAGAAAAGCACACCTGTATCAACGCTGGAGTTTGGGAAACCCCCCTCACCTTTTCATCTCTCTAACGATCTGAAGCCCCACAGATAGAACTGAAGGCATTAGGTTAACTGAGAGAAGCTGTTTAATCCCACACATGGAGCAGTCAGCAGCTCTGTATTCTCCTTCAGTGCTGTCTATGCAGACTTGTCAATACCATGCCCTCCAGGTCAAATTTGGAATCCATGTCAGGGTACACGTATGCATATTTGTTACATGTAATATTACTTCTGCCTCGTGCACACACTAAATCATGAACACTAAACCGTTTCATTTTGTATTACGCTTTTAAACATTAAACATTTACAGGCATTAGAATTAATTTCCCTAACAACTCTATAATTAGTTACAAGAAACACCTTATTAGTCCCCCAAAAATTGGGTTTTCACTCTGTATTGTTTTTGCTTGGATTAAAACCTTTATTTCATTCATTATTTTTAACATGAAAGCCTTTTTGCTCTTGTTAAAAATGTGCTTGTGTTTTTTTCAGCCATGCTGCAGTTCGTGTACAACAACACTGTTTTGCATGTGAATCACTTTTTGATCTTTCTGGTGCATTAATTTGGTCATTAAAACCAGTGGTTTCAATGATTGAGTTGTAATTCAGACATGTTTATCTGCTTTGATAGTGATGAAGATAACCTGTTTAGGTCTTTACGTGGTAGTTGCCGTAATTAGAGCGATGCCTTGATCTGGTTAGTGTGAATAAATTACTGTGGTAAGCATCAGGCACTCATGAGTCGATAACCTTAGCCCTGGAATCCATGGCGTCTTACAACCATCGCTGGGTCTGACAGATGTGGCAGCACTTTTCTACTCTCTGCCAGTGAGAGGAGAGCGTTAAAGCTTTGTGTGTCAAGACAGGAGTTTTGAATGTGACGTATCAAAGCTTAGGAGTGTGGCTCAAAGCTTGCAGTCAGTGGTAGGGAGAGGGATTTGCATAGGTAGGCTTATGTGTTTTCCACCTCGTCCCCGCCATTGTTTTCATGTGACAACTGCCTGACAGCCAGGAAAATGGGACACAGGCGAGAAAAAAAGGGTAGAGTGTGGATTTTGTCTCTCTAAGAAAAGAACTGACAAACCGAAGAGTTCAATATCCTCACCCACCAGTGGTGGAACAGTGATGGAGGAACTCAGCCGAGTCTCTGTGGAAAAAATAAATACCTCTGCCCTTCCATTCAAGTGTGTTCGGACATAATTAACCCTGTCCACAAGTCTGGGGTTTGGGGTCAGCGCAGACCTTTTTTGAGATCTTGTGATTTGATGCTTGGCAGTTCTTGTATTAACAATGGACAGCTCAGAATTTGCCACAGTTTCGCCTAAGAGTCACAGGTCAACTATCAAAATTCAAGGGAAGCTTGTTTAAGAGGATTAATACAGGAAAGGCTCAGCAAGGGCCAGTTTGCCCTTTTCCTCCACTTATCCCTAAAATCCTTATGATTCCAAACATCCGGTTCCTCAGTTAAATGTTTGTGGCAGAACATGAGTTTGCATCCTTAATTTGAAGCATGTGCCGAGAACTGTTTAATGCTGCTTGATCCCCCCCGCTTACGGGCAGATGTTAGCAGGAACTACTGCTGATAATCAGGTCTCAGGGATTCCAACTCACCATCCATGCATGTACTGATGCATGCTCAGGCACACACTCTTTAAAGCGTATCAGGCCTGAATCATTACTAATGCTGCTGGCTGTGTGTGCGCCTCAGCCACGATTTGTTGTAGAAAAAGATTTATTATTGTGCCTTTGCAGTCTAAATCTGGTCCCAGGGAGAACCAGGGGTAAAATATCATTCAAATGTCAGGTGGGATTAGGCAATAGGAAGAGTCACAGGTCACAGATGGGTGGATGAACGTGTTGGATAACTGTGCATCGCCAGGCTCGTGTAACGGCCTACCCTTGCACCATACCGCAGTGCAATTCAACTTATCACTGTTGTGTAAAATGCTGTGGATTTGATTGTGTTTTTGTTTGTCACGGTTAGCTTATCGTGATTGGTTTTAAAAGACCATATTAGCTTTAATCTGTTCTGCAAATGTGACACTTATTTGACAGTGGTTTAGACACACAAAACAGATTACAAACAGAATAAATAATGCCAGATAGATGCTTACATTTTACTCTTTAAAGTTGAGAAGAGGTGGGGTTTCTGCTGTGCATCCCTGCTGTTACGTGTACTATCTTTAATCACATGTGACAACCAACCTGTCCAGATACTTGTGTGTACAATTAATGTGGCTTAAGAAGTAAGACAACTGCTGGTGTTATTTTTTTGTAAGAATGTGTTTATGACAGAGGTTTATTTTAGAGAGGGAACATGAGCAGATCAGGCTGTCGCTCACAATAATATGAGGAATATGGAGCCTCTCTTTAGTTTTAAAAATAACAGAATAAAGAATCAAAGGGGTTTCATAGATTCTCAAGAAACAAAGATATTAGCAATAATTTAGATTTTGAATGTGATTGGAACTCGGAAGAGCACATGTTCTCCTAGCTTCTTATTTCCCCCTCGTAATATTGTGATTTATTTCTCATTAAATCACTGCTTTATTCTTGTAATATCATGACTCTCTTCTCAATAACATCTATATTCCTCTATTCTCAGTATAAAGCATACACATATTTGTAAATTAATCCTAAAGCCCATTTCGTACCTCAGTTACTCTGTCCGTAGATCCAGTTGCATTCGAATGTGTATAAGCATCTCACATGAAACGGTTATGTATGCGCACACTGCCTGCATCCCCCCTTTTATTGTGCACTGAAAGCTCCCCTTCAAAGATGTCCTAGAGCAAAGACAGCAAGCACCACCACTCTCTCTACAGCCAAGCAAGGGCAGAGGGTGATAATATAAGACCTGGAGAATGTGCTCACTAACAGTCCCATCTATACCACAACCTGGTACAATGTTATCCAAACTAGATATTGACCCGACACCCAGCCTCTACCCGATGTTATATTAGAAGACATAAAAAGGAAAAGAATGGTGGCAGCCATTGCTGGATTTTCCCCAGTGTGTACTCAGCAAGGGGAGGCTGGCGTCTCCTCTGTGTACACAGCATAATGATTCACCCGTTTGTGCGTGTCTCTACGGGGCGGTCTGTTCGTCATAACTGCGGGTTAGGTGTTCCCCACCTCCCTCTTTAATGACTCTGGAGATGAAACACAAGCTGACAGAGCTGGTAATAAGGACAGCGAGTTATGTTTTTGAAGCCGGCTTGTATTATGCACATCTGAGGTTGTAAATAAAGCATAAAGCATGGCAGCCATAGCTTGGCGCATAGGTGTGCTTATTGTAGTATCATGTAAACTAAGACGGGGCTGTCACTGAAACATGCACGCCATTGTCTTGTGAACAATGACGCTGGGTGTGGTACTGGGTAAAAACACCCTAAAGGCAAACATAGGAACCAGGTTTAGAAGTGTTCACCAAGGTAATCTATAGTGTGTTTATAAAAAAACATCATCTGGAATGAACTCAAAGACATTTCAGAATCAAAACACAATAGAAGCCTCAATTGGATCCTGTTGAAATGCTAAATAAACTGGTTAACTCCCAAAAATTTGAATTTACAAGCTGTTTTCTACATGTTTTTTTTTTACATTTCGGGGACGAGTATTCTCTGATTATGTCTCTTTTCCTGTTATATTAAATAGATATAACAACTTCAATGTGTTTGTGACAGACTTTGCCCTTTTTCAAATGGTGCTGAAACAAAAGCAAGAAATTCACCATGATACAGTGGCAGGCTGGAACACAAAGAGACTGAGGTTGTGTGAAACAACAAAACCTGCATGGGTTACCTCATTTGTGTGGAGAAAGTGTTACCCATAGACAACCACGTTTTACATGCTGACGTGACTAACATCACCTTCACCTCTCCCCCTCCCTTCTGCTCTCCTTTGTCCTCACCTCTCTCCCTGTCATTGACTTCTTTCCCTCCCTCTTTTTTTTTTATCATTCTCTAATTCCCTCTGCCCCCGTTTCTCTGTCCTCCTCAGGCTTGCCAAGTTTCGTCAAATCCCCAGAGGACCAGACGGGTATCTCGGGCGGAGTTGCATCATTTGTGTGCCAGGCCACTGGGGAGCCCAAGCCCAGAATCACCTGGATGAAGAAAGGCAAGAAAGTCAGCTCCCAGCGCTTTGAGGTGAGCACTCATGTGCGATTCCCAGATCTCTGAACACTCCCCGTGCACACCCGCATGCGCTCAAGTAAACACGGTCAGGCACAAACACAACCCACGTGACAAAACATTGTTCAGGCGTGGGCGTCAGACAGCCTCTGTAACCCTCTCTCATTAATGACTCGTCCGCACATTCATCTACACATGCACATGCGCTCGCAGCATTCACACAGAGTCTCCTCTCCCACAGCACAGACACTCAATTGCCCTGTTATTGAGCATCACACCGGCTCTTCTCTTCTCTAAGCAAGAATAGACAGGCTTCCCTTCTCTACCATCTCCTCCCATCTTGATTTATAAAGTCCGCTTCATCTCTTTCAATCTTTTCACACCCTCACCCTTCCCCTTCTGTTCCTCAGCTCCACCATCTCTGGCCTTGCATCCCCTTGATGTATTACCTAATGTATTTTCCCTCCCCCTTTTGAACCCATAGAAAGAGAAGGAAGAGCCTTAGGTGGGATCTCACACTGTTTCTGACCAGTGTTTCCTCTGTAATGTAATGTAGCCATGGCAGCTGGGAGGACTATTGGTTTAAGCTCCTGGTTGGTTTGCCTGGATATGATCTTTCTTGTGGTTCTGCTGTGCATCGATATGTTTTGATTTGATTTCATATTATCATTCACTCTACATACCACAACTGATTCAATTTAATTGAGACAGTTTTATTCAAGATGAATGTTTTGGGGGGAAAAATAATTTCATTTGCCATTTTTTTGTGGGAAAGACAGACTCTACCCCTGAAAAATCTAATTCTGCAGCAGGAAGTGAAAACAGGCCTTTAACAAACCGGTCAAGCTGAAACATTTGCAAACGTTAAAATCCTTTTTCTCATATCAGAAACAAAAACATCTGTAAAACCGTCACCTGAGAGTAGTAATGGATGTTGTTTACATGTTGCAATGAAGCGATTTACTCGAGCCCCTCAAAATAACATTTCTGCCCTTTTGTTTTCCTCTGGTTCTCCTAGGTGATTGAGTTTGATGATGGTTCGGGCTCCGTGCTGCGGATCCAGCCACTGCGCACACACCGAGATGAAGCCATTTACGAGTGCACAGCCACCAACAGTGCTGGCGAGATCAACACCAGTGCTAAGCTTACAGTGCTTGAAGGTAAGATAAGTCTCTTTTTTTTCCTCCATCTTGCTTTCAGTCTCACTCTTTTCTTTAACTCCTTCTTCTCTTGCTGCTGCTGCCAAATTCCATTATATTTGCCTTAATAATACACACACATAAACATGTGCTAGCTCTGGATTCCTGGTATTGCTGGTGTCTTAGAAGAACACATATTTTAAATAAAATTTAGAGAATGTGTTTTTAAACAATATTCTGTCAATTTCAGCAATTCAGTATGTATGACTCTGAATCTATGATTACCATATAAAGCATCCTACTTCCCTATGCAATGGCTTTAGCTGAATCCCCTGCCAAAGCCATATCAACACAATTATCTAATCAATTGTCTCATCTAAATCCTGTGTGTCACTGAGAACTTAAAGAATAATGCCCTACTTAGTGTTTTCCACATAGAGGACCCCCCCTCCGTGCCTGCAGGCTGCTTTGACATCTGTAGACCTTCATCCTCATCCCACCCATAACAAGTTAATGTATGTGATTCATGTGGACAGGGGTTCTGCACCTCTCCCTGCTCAGCCGTCCATATCACTGAGCAGCGGACAGGAATTTCTCCTTTAATTGATTGTAATTTTGTCATGTGGGCGCCGGTCACCACAGGAGTTGATTTCATTAGAAACTTTCAGGGGAAAAAAAGCTCCAGAGCTAGCCGGGGGGGGGGGGGAATTACTGCTGTCCATAGCCGTTACACTGGTATTAAAGCAGATCCCCCCTCATTCAGACACAGCCTTTCTGTCCCCAGTTTGAATTCTGTCTTCATAACACCCACCCTTCCCTTCTTCTCTCCATCCACGCTGATTTGATGATATCACTGGCTGGGCTTGCGTAATCTTCCCGAAGGGACTTTTCTCTTGCTCAAAGAAAAGTTTTTTCCTCTCGCTACCCTTCCTTTGCACTATATCATGAGGAAAGCTGTCTGCATAAACAAACAGCACTAACATGACATGTCGTGCACATGAATGAGATGGGATTAATCACAGTGTTAGTGTTGTGGGGCAAAGTAGGAGAATAGTACAGATTCCCTCAGTACAAGTGCAACAGAGAGACAGACAACCGTCTTACTCAACAGTGAGAAACTGTCCTCTGCAGCGTGAAGTCGTCTTCTCTCTGTGATCCTGTGTGTTGGAGCGGTTTATCTCGGAGTCAAGTAACATATGAACACATGCCGTACGATGGGGTTTCTGTGTATATACTGTATACTCACATTGAATGGTAACCAGACTTTTAACCATGGCTACACCATCTTTTTTTTGGCCTGAGCCTCAGGTGCAAGTACAGGTATTTTTCATCCATCCATTATCGATACCGCTGATTCTTTTGAGGGTTGCAAGGGACTGATGGAGCCAAACCAGCGAACATTGGCGAGAGGCAGTGTACAACAGACACATAGATAAAAGCGTCAGTGCTAACCACCATGTGCCACCCTCCAGCTATGACACAGTCTTTAAACTCTCAACAAAAAGAAAACATTCCCCATTAGCTTTTTCATGTCATACACATATTTAAAGCTGCTTTAATTAGTACTCACTGTGATAATAATCTCCTCTTCACATAGTTGAGCCACTTTTTAGTCTCATTGTTTTCGTCTCTCAAAACCAAAATAATATAGGTTCATGAAGAAAAAAAAAATACTTTGGACAGCTGCGCTCAGCCTACAAGCTCAGGCAAGTCACTTCTACGCTACCTGCACAGGGTGACATGGCAGACAGCCAAAGCAAACGAGTGGCTGGTGAAGTTGTCGTCTGTGTTGAAGCTTTGTCAAGGCAAAGTTAGATCCACACCAGGAGGCTAAGAGGACGACGTCAACTTGTTATGTGCGTTGCAAGTAAACAACCTGTCAAAACTGATAATAATAATCTTAAAGGCCTGTTGCTGTGATTTTATTTCGGAATCGTTTATTAAAAGTATCTTCCCACAGATTTGACTGTATATGTTTTTGTAATTGTTGTAATTGTATTCATCAGTTAGCAACAGTTCATGTGATACAGAACATTTGACAGTCATGCTGTCAGTGTTCATTAGCATAGCCTACTTTGAATTACAAATGTTAAGGAATATGTTAGAGTGAGAGGAAGACTTGTGTTTTTAATGCAGCTACAGAGGCTGGAAAAGAACCTCACATCATATTTAATCACAACAACTCCTTGAATCGGCTCACCCACAACCCCGAGGATGTGCTGGACAACTCAGAGTGTGTTCATACGTGCACACACAAACCCACAGACAAACACACTTTCATGCATGTTATATATTCACAAACACGCAGACACGCACTCCCTCACTGAGCATTGCCGTCATTTGGGCTCTATTTTTGGACTATTGTTTGTAACGCAGCGATACATCAAGTTCATATCAGCAGCGCTACACAAGAAAACGGTGGGGCAGCACCAAACAGCCTGAGACTAATGATCCCCCTCCTTAATGGGCTCGTGATAGCCTGCAGGTTTGAAAAGTCACGTCAGAATGTTTCTGCCTCCAATCTTGGACAGAGTGATAGAATCTGGAGAAAGCGTTGAAGAAACCGCAGGGAGCTCTTCAGGTGTGCTCGTGTTAAGAAAAAAAAAAAAAAAAAGAAGCTGAGGATTGCTGAAAAATATGCTTCTTCTCTGTCAACCTACCCTGAATAAATAAAGGGCGAAAAGTGAAGCTATAAAAGAAAAGACACCCCCCCCCTGTGACTTAAAGTGCACGTTTCTTTTGCATCTGCAAGAAGTTGTCATTGAGCACGCCCATTAAGAAGAATGTCATTATACCACTAAGTCGATCTGGATTATAGGTTTTAGCTGAGCAAAGGAAGGTTGCACATTAATTATGATTATTTCATATAGTGGCTCTTTATTTTTTTATGCCAATCATGTGAAATATGGATTATGACAGTCACACTGATACTACTTTAAATGTATCCCAGTATCCTGATCATTTGCTTGTAATGTTTTAGTGTAATTCACTGCATCTAAGTTACTTTTGTGTCTGCTTCTTATGAAACACCATGCCACGAAATCCCTCTATAGAATATCCGGAAAATTCCAGTTGCATACGTGTCAACCTGCTTGTTATACTGAACCTGTTCTTGACTGTAGGCCAACAGAAGAAGTCCGCGGTGATGAATGGTGCCTCTCTCGTTTACTTAACCTGAGCAGATGATTGGAGGCTGGGCTCTGTGTAGTTTAGCCCGTCGCTCACCTGCGTGAAGCTGCTAAGGCATGTTTTCATAGCTGAGTCGAAGCTCGAGCACCTTTTTAGTCATGAGTCTCGAGTCACTCTGTAATTCTGTCACGCTGTAACAGCCCCGCTCTTTGTTAGTCGTGGTTCTCACGCCCCTGCCCGAGAGGTCACTCCGCTGAGACTTACATACAGGCCCAAAGTCAGCTCAGCAATTCCTCATTATTGTGTGCGTGTGTATGGTTGAACTAAAAGCATAGTTGTGAGTTGTGTTCTTCTAAAGTTGTCACACTAAGTCAACATCTGAGGGTTCTGAGTCTATAATCATTGTTCCCATCAGTCTTTCATGACTGTTTCTCTTCCCCTCTCTTTTACTTCTGTTTCTACCTCCTGTGTTCTATCACTTTTTATTTATTATTCTTTCAGTGTGTATCTACCCCTGTATCTATTCTCTGCGTGTCTCCTATCTTTGGTAAACACAGAGGACAGTGTGGTGGCGGTTGTGCTATGACGTCGTAGAGTATTATAGAGAGATGACCAGAGGGAACAATGACTCATTACTTGGGTAACGATGCTGATGTTCTGACCTTGAGCACCCCTCTTGAATTGAACTGCCTCAGTAAATGTCCAGGTAAATGGTGCTTGTCTCTGTGATGTATGAAATAAGCTACTGCTGGCCAGAAAAGACATCTCTGCTCACAACATCAGTCTTAAAAGCAGGGTGCTGCCATCTCTCCATGTCAAGAGGCAATAGTTCATATTTTCACTGCTGTTAACTATTGAGGAGCATGTAAAATGTGAAATGCAATGACTCAGATCGAGAAATGACTGAGGTGGTGTCAGAACCATCACACAACACTAATGGTGATGAGAAAACTGATGAAGGCTCCCTGGTGCAATGAATGGAGTGATTGTTTGCACATATGGAAGCTGACAGTTTTCTTTTTAACAAAACCACATTCAAATTCTAATGAAATAGCTCATTGCGAAATCCTTAAAAGTACATGGTTTTAATTGGCCTCTATCGGCAACCAGGGAATTACAGCACTGACAAGTCCTGGGAAACTTCTCCACAGAACGTCACACGTATCTTAAAAATAATATGTCACATTATCCAAGTAAAATGAAACAATCATTCTCAGTGAGGGGATTCAGCACAAACGTTTAATTGGAGGTCATATATCACAGAGAAATCAACACTGCTCAGACACAAATGTTGGATTTTTATTTCCCCTTTATGGGATGAGAACCAAATGGCTCACATTACTGTTTGGTCTGCATCACTTCTGCACTTTCACAGAATAACACAAGTGGTTGAAAGGCATAAATCTTTACTCCAGCCAAAGCGATTGTAGTCCTTTTATTAATCCAATATCCCATCAAACCCCTGGAAAGTGAACGTCCTAACCCTCATCTGCTGAACTGCTCTTGTGAAGTTTCTCTGGCAAAACTCCCCCAAAAGAAAATAAAAAGCTCAAACAAGAATAAAATTGTCAAACTGATGGCTGCGAAACTCGCTGTGACTCGAGGAAATTCCTCAAATATGAGCAGAAACTGGATATACTCCGTGACTTCTCTGCTGCGTTGGAGAACATGCACTTGTCCTCTGGGAGACAGCGGACCTGTCTCTGGAAAGGAGGAATGTTATCTAATGGTACCAGATCAAAAGACCCTCTCATTACTGGAATCCTCCGCCGTCTGAATATGAATTAGAAAGCTTCTCCTTCAGACCAGCTGCACACCTTTTGCTGAATTTCCCTGGCAACTCCTTCCTGAACTTGTTATGTCGAGGGGAATTTGTTTTATGCTTTTAAAGG